CTGTAACTCTATTTTAAATTTACATTTATTCCTTTTATTTTTTTATTATCTCTCTCTGACTGTTGCACTGAGCCAAAGCAATTTCCAAGTCTGTGACTTCCTGTTACTCATGTGGCAATACAAATTATTCTGATTCCGATTCTGATTCAATAAATTTAATGAGAACATTTCAACTTTCATTCATTCATTCATTTTCCACCCCTTTATTAGTCCATTTCTAATCAGAGCTGCAGACCAACGCTCTTAGCACCAGTCCCTCACTGATCCTCCTGCAGGTGGTTGGTTCATGGTAAGATGGATGCTGCTTCGATGAAGAGACGGACTTGGTGTATCAGCGGGGGCTTCAGGCAATGTGGGATTAAGTGTTTTGCCCACACAACGACAAAAGACATTAGTGGATGCAGTTGGAGTAGGTCTCGTGAGGGATCAAACCCACCACCTTCAGACCCAAAAGCCAATTCTCTCTACCAACTGAGCCACTGTCGCCCCCTTTCAACTTATTCTTGTATACATACTTTGTACACATCTCCTTCATGAGCTGCTGTTTGATATAATTTGTAAACTATCCTAACCCAAATCAAACCCAACTATGAGTTGGGTTTATGTATTGAACTACAAGGAAGTCTTTTTCTTCCATTATTGACCATGTGAACTCTTTCAGACGACGTGGGAAAAGAAATCATAGGCTTATATTATAACAATTGTGTAAAAACAGGGGAAAACTCAAATTCTGAAATGCTAGGAGTACTTTTGAAATTGAAAAAGTTCAGAAAAAAATAAACTTTTTTAAGAAAGTGCTTGTACTGATGCAAAGTACACATCCCAGCAGTGGACCTTGTATGAACATTTTCTGATATATTCTTTCCCTCTAATGTCCTAATCCATACAACACCGCACTCATTTATCGTCCTCGTCTGCTGGTGGATGTGGAGGAGTGACTGGCTGAAGTGTTATTTGACTGTAGGCGTCTATATTACACCAGGGGGATGAAATTCAGCTTTTTTTCTTCTTCTGTTAAGGCTTTGAACAATACATTGCAGAAACAATACCGAGACAAATGTGATAAAAAAAAAGAGCGAATCAACGATTGCAAGGAATTTACAAGTCTTTCCAAGTTAAATTTAAGGCCTCAAATAAGTTTATTTTTTTCCTGTAACATTTTTTATAAACCTCTTCAGCTGCTGCTTAAGAAGATATACTCCAATTGCAGAAAGAGTTATTTGAAATAGAAATATTGTGGTTGGTACAATGAATCTGCACTGCGCCATTTACGGCATTTCTTTTTAGCTTAATAGAACCAGGTGGAATTGAGAGGATCTGGCATTGTGAGGTTGTGTATTTATCATATGACTTGGATTGTGCTTATAAGACTTTCAGAAAAAGCCTTGTATTTTATCATTTACAACTTGAAATTAATATGTGTTTTCATAGAATCATCCATCCATCTTCTTCCCCTTAAACCATTTTTGGGTCTAGTACACTTAGCACCAGCCCCTCACTGATTCTCCTGCAGGTGGTGAGTCCACAGGAGCATTGATCTTCAGTGGGGGCTTCAGTTGAGTGTCTTGCCCAAGGACACAACGATGTCTGATGATGGGCTCGAACCCACGACATTCAGGCCACTGTCGCCCTATGCAACATTCATAGAATAAGCGAAGTTTGAATGTACATCTGAAAAATCTTTTGGCAGTAAATGTTTGCAGATATATAGAAAAAGCTCTAAAACACATGTGTCAAAGTCAAGGCCCGCGCAAATGAATTATCCATGGCCCCCGTGATGATATGTGATCGTTGCCTGCAATTGACACATTAATACGTTTTCAGCTATTTTCATGTTCCCAGATGTCTATTATATCTAATATCAATGGGGATTATCTTGAGAGCATATTTTATCGAGCCAGCAGGTGGCAGCAGCGCTCTCTGGATGGTTTGAAAACAGCAAGATGCACTTGTTGTGGCTCTTTTTTGTGATTTCAGTAAAACTTCCCTCTACTTGACTGGGATTTACAGGGGAAGGAAACAAACTATGAATTTTCATGACCGACCACCGAGCCTCATTAACCGGTTGAAACCGGTTAACCGCGTAGTTTAAAATATCGCATGTTCTTTGAAATAACAGCCATTTCGAGCCGCGTACTTTCCATAAGTGTATCTATGCTATGCGTTAATGGATCAGAGCTGAGACAGCGGCGCCAACACCTTCGCTCGGCACCTTTGCGCACAGAGAACTGCTTTATTTTTTATCTTCCTATTCTTCTGTGCTGCGGGTTAAAGCATTTTTAAGCAAAAGGCGGCTCGTTCACATGGAGAGAGCAGCGAGTGACGAGCCACGTCTCACAGGTCTCCTCTAAAGTTAAATTACAAGTGATGTGTGTGGAGCTGATGCCAAGGACCATAAACACAAACATGTTCCCAAGTTGTTTGACTGAAGCCGCGTATTTGCGAGGATCCTAAGGGCTGTGTGACACAGAGGAGCGCGACAGACCGGTATGTGTGTACATCTATGTATGTATGTACAGTGGGGCAAAAAAGTATTTAGTCAGCCACCGATTGTGCAAGTTCTCCCACTTAAAATAAAGAAAGAGGTCTGTAATTTTCATCAAAGATACACTTCAACTGTGAGAGACAGAATGTGGAAAAAAACATCCATGAAATCACATTGTAGGATTTTGTAATAATTTATTTGTAAATTATGGTGGAAAATAAGTATTTGGTCAATAACAGAAATTCAACTCAATACTTTGTAATATAATCTTTGTTGGCAATAACAGCGGTCAAACGATTACTATAGGTCTTTAACAGGTTTGCACACACAGTAGCTGGTATTTTGGCCCATTCCTCCATGAAGATCTTCTCGAGAGCAGCAACACGGACTTTCAACTCCCGCCGCAGATTTTCAATGGGGTTGAGGTCTGTAGACTGGCTAGGCCACTCCAGATCATTGTCATGCTGGAAGACCCAGCCACGTTTCATCTTCAAAGCTCTCACTGATGGAGGGAGGTTTTGGCTCAAAATCTTTCACTCTTCCCAGTCTGGTGCAGGTCTACAATTCTTTTCCTTGTGTCCTTCGACAGCTCTTTGGTCTTGGCCATAGTGGAGTTTGGAGTCTGACTGTTTGAGGCTGTGGACAGGTGTCTTTTATACAGATCAAGAGTTCAAACAGGTGCCATTAATACAGTTAACAAGTGGAGGACAGAAGAGCTTCTTAAAGAAGAAGTTACAGGTCTGTGAGAGCCAGAGATCTTCCTTGTTTGAAGTGATCAAATACTTATTTTCCACCATAATTTACAAATAAATTCTTTAAAAATCCTACAATGTGACTTCCTGGATTTTTTTTTTCACATTCTGTCTCTCACAGTTGAAGTGTACCTATGATGAAAATTACAGACCTCTGTCTTTATTTTAAGTGGGAGAACTTGCACAATCGGTGGCTGATTAAATACTTTTTTGCCCCACTGTATGTGTGTGTAAATGTAAGCTCCAATATAGTTCTGACATGTGCAACTTTGGCGGACAATGGAGGGGGGGGGGATTGTGTGTGTGTGGTTGTGCGCGCGCGTGTGTGCCTGCGTGCATATGTGGCGCGTATGGCATGAAAGTCGGCCCGGAGTTTACTAATACATTGACGCACAAAACTAGATACGGACCCGCTCGTCTCATCGTGCAATTAGGGACCCCCCCTCCCCTCTTTTTCTTTTTTTAACCGACAGCTTTGACCGGTTAACGCTGTGACGGTCAACCACCGATTAAACGGTCACCGATTTTCAGAATCTGGTTTAGGATTTCAGACAGTCATAGTACACAATATTCTGTGGGTCTTGAAAAATCTATAAAAATCATCAGAAACTGCTGGCAATATGGGAATACCTGTTCTGATATATATATATAGGATGGCAGGCAATGAGTTAATAAACATTGAACCAGTCTGGCCCTCCTCTTGCAGCAATTTTGTTTTTTTTGGCCCTTTGATGTATTTGACTTTGACATGCCTGCTCTAAAAGGTGCTGAACCACTTTGTGTGCATTGGGTGGATACTGCACAAGAAGTGGTTCACCACAATTATCATATATGATTCAAGCCAATCATAGATATGTTATTTATTGGCTGGTGTGAAGTCACATGTTTGTTTACAATAAAAGTTTAATGACAAACTCTAAATTTGTATTCAGACAACATTATTGACACACGCAAAAAGCAGAGAAACCGCCACGACAGTTGAGGATTGCACTTTTAACAAGAAACATTTAAGAAAAAGTACAAATACACTAACATGTGAAAATGATCTACCTTTTTAATGTTTTTGTAACATATACTTTACGGCTGATTAAACAAATAACAAATGGGAGGGGGAGTGGCCACTTTTATTTATTTCCTCTGCTCACAGTAGTTCCCAGAAGGCAGCCCACTTTGCCCAGAAACATCAGCGCTCTAGTTTCACCGCAAGGTCTAACCTCCAAGAAACCAGAGCCACTGACCATAAACTGCTTTTTCATGACCCTTGCGACCAAATTAATGGAATATGTTTGAAGATAATATCCTCATTACACCACTACATAGAGAAAAAAAGAAGCAGCTGGGGATGACTTTTCGGATTCCTTTCTGCACCAAATGAAGTCAATGAGAAAAACAAGACCCTTGGGGAAAAGAATACAAGGTGGGTCAACCAGGGGATGTTTATTGCAGAATGGGGAAAGAAAAAGAGCAGGGCAAATAAGATTGGGGAAGACAGTACAACCTCCAAGTGCATAGAGGACACAGACAGCCTTTTGACCACAGCCACCAGCCTCATCTCCTGTGCGTTTATTGAATCTCCTATTTGTCGATAACAGTATATCCTGCCAAAGAAAATAGTGCTGGGAGCAATTACTTCAGCGAGACTGTCAATTTTGTGCTGAGGGGTGGGGTTAAGGGAAGGAGAGAGCCTGATTCACACCTTTTTATTCTTTTTTACAAAACTCCATCACCCCTGTTTGAAAAATACCTTTGCCACAAAGAGTGACAGAGTGGCTTCTCCACACCACAGCTATAGGGAAGACAAAGCCAGTGCGGTTGGGGCACGTCCGCATGTCATCTCCAGCTGTAATGAGCCCATAACAGGTTGGCAGTCTGCTCAGTGCCCACTGCTCATCTGGAAGACTGATATGTATTATTCAGGTTCTCTGGCAGCTTCTTGGAGAATCACAAGGCAGCACTGTGTGTAGGAATTGGGACGCCTTCAAATCAAGCTGTTTTTGCAATCAGAAAAGCGTAGTTTGACAAAGTACAATTAGGAAGTGATGCAAAAACAGAGGAGAAACACAACAGTGTGACCCTGCGTTAGTATACAGCAGTTTTTATTCTTCAGAACATTGGTTTAAAAGTCTTGTTTCATTCAAATGTTGTGTGTGATGGCTTGACTTGAGTGTGCTTCACAGTAGTGAAAAGCTTCTGCCTGTGCTGGCTGCTTTCAAATGCACAGCTAACCGATAACTAGGCAAAAGAAAAATTATGGCTTGATAAGGACATGCAGGCTTTATGAATGAAAAAGCATTAACCTGCTGCTTATATGTATAGAAAAAACAGAGAAAGATATCCAATATGTGGCATGAAGTTGAATTTATATATCTATAGACTATGAATTATAAGTAAGAAGTTGTGTACATAGTGTACATAAGTTTACATTTTCAAGAAATACTACTGTAACCTGGTAGAGCTGTATCCCCACCTCTTTGTCTGTGTGTCTTTAGTTTTGAGTTTGTGTGTCCATGAGTGTATTTTGTTTTGGGTGTGGTCACACAGGTGGAGGTAATCAGCTCGGTACACTCACTCAGTTTTAAGGGGCAGAAGCACACCACTCGGTCTCACTGTGTCTTGTCACTCCCTTGTCCAGGTAATGTCCACCACACTGTCATACTTAGATCTTGTATGTCACTTTGTTTAGTTTTTTGTATTAACTCTCTCTGCGTCTTGTCACTCCCTTGTCTAGGTGTGCTGGAGGGGATACGGGTGTGGCCTAGTGAGGAGAGTGGATAAAATAAGACCACCAGAATACAGCCCCCTGAATCGCACATATTGCTGTTTAGCTTGGCTAACCGGATGGTCAGATCCACCCCATCTCCTCCCCTAATTTCCCTCCACTGGCATGGAAAAAGCACACCTGCACTTTTGGACATGTTATAATAACCCTTTTAAACATTGTAATGTTTTTGTAATAAAATTTGTTAACAACCTGCCTCATGCACTTTTGTCCACCCTAAAACTGGTTGGTCAAACAAACCTGGGCGTTACACTATATTTTTGCTGTGTTACGTTGCCTGAAGGTATCTTCTCAGACCGCTCCTGCTTCTGACTGCTTGCTATCTCCTGTTTTTGTCTTTTTCCTGGAGTTTTGCCACAGACAACTTTAACAGAATGGAAATGATTAACTGGTCCCTCAACGCAATTGATTCTATCTTTTCATCTTGTAAGCGTGGGTCTGGAGAGCCCGTGTGCCCGGACGGGACTTCACCTGCGGGGTATACTCTTGACAGCTGGAACAAGTTTCAGCCCCTCTGTCTGTCGACCCTGTCTATTGAAGATTCGGAAGACGTATATATCTTTGGCATTTTGGTGGTGGGGATCCTCCTGTTTGGGTTTGGAGCGGTTCTCTTCTATCGCAAATTCGGAGGCATGGCAGTTCGCAAGATTCACGACCTGCTGGCCGACAAAATTGATGGGATGTACAAGGAGCTTAGCCGAGTCGTGGTTGAGAGTGCCGTGTCTGGACAAAGGACATCGTGTGTCAGGCTTGAACTCTCTGACCCGGCATGGATTTGCCCCTGTGTACGGAGGTCTGAGGGCGCCGCAATTCGGTTTAATTGGATTTAATAGAATATCTGCCTGCTTTTGACTGCTACATTGCATATAATATTGTCCCCCTCAGGCGATGTGTTTTTCTCCTGCTGTGTCTTCTCTCCACTCTTATCTCACATTCCTCGGCCGAGGCCATAATAACAAGGTCCCATCTACAACAACTCACACTATTTCAGTCTTCAGCAAGGATCCAGCTCCCCCGCCTCCCTCTACCTATCCATCTTGCTCCCTCCCTCCCCTCCACTCCTCATTGTGTTTCCGACTCACCCCCTCCCTGACCCCGCCCCCCCTCTGACAGCCACATTGGGCCGGCAGTCGGAGGTGCTCATCCCGAGAGAAAAACCCGTGGTTTATACAAAGCACAATGTGTCTATCCAACTGTCTGTGAAACTGTATGTTATTGCTCTCTGCTGTTTATTCTACTGTTTGTCGCATGGCGCCGTAAAGATGGCGCCGTGGCAAGAGCTCTGGTGTGTGTCGTCTTCTCTGTCTGGTGCACACCGGGGTAGTCTTGCACAGTTTTTCCTATGTGGTTTTACTGCAAATGGAAAATAAATGAATCTGATCTGAATCCGGTATGTTGTATATACAGTAGCTATATGAAGGTAAAGATCAATGCGACTAAAGAAAAAGCCTTAAGGAACTTCATTATTCATATTTCTTCAATAAATGTAATTAAAGTATTCCCCATTGTCCAAAAATATCTGTTTAATTAGAGCATATTAAAATCTATACTAGTCACAGTATGACTTAATTTCCTGACTATTAGGAGATACTGTAGATAAGTTTGAAAAAGCTATTTGTCTAACTTGCCTGGGTTTCAAGACTGTTCTTAAACAAAATGTCTCAGCGATTTTCTTACTGTTAGCCTAAAGTCTATTCACATGAGGGATTATATGATGACATTACGTTTACATTTAACACAGTGTAAAGCTGTTGCGTGCTTTCTGTGGCAGCAATTGGAAAAGGTCAACGGGAACACGGATCAGTTGAGATGCTGGTTGCTTGGACAATGACTTTTTTCCAGCCCAACTTAAAGGACAGAGCCCTGCTGCCGGTAGATAAGACATTTCATCTGAGCACCAGGACGCTGGGCTGCTAGCTCAGTGGGGGATTTTACACCAGACCATGTGGCCAAGCATTTCACCATTTCCCCCCCTGTCCTTCGTCAATCTCGACCCCCATATTCTCAACCTGTCTCTCACTTCTTTAAACCCTGGGTAACAGCCACAAAGAAATCTTTGAATGCTCGTACACACCAGGGGATTTTCCTTCTTCTGGTTCTTTTCCTTCCATCTTCTGAAAGAATAAAGCTATATGCTCTCAATCTGCGTAACACAATTAGGCTTTAAACAGTTCCAATAATTGGGAGGGTGGCATTACATCTTTTGTCCATAGGAGACCAACAGGGTCAAACACACCACAGCGAAGACAAAAAATAAACATTGATGTATTTATTAGCCAATAAACAGCAAGAAAATAACTGCTCTCTTGGCAAAGAACATGAGGCACAGTTTGAGGCAACATGTTGAGATTGTGCATCGTCAACAGTCCCATGGTTTGAAACACCAAGAAACAACAGAAACATCCTGTGTATTATTAGGTAATTCATTCAACATCCGTTTTTCAAGTTTAGCAAATTGAAAGGTCACTGAAAGGATATATTGGGGCATGTCAGCCGTTAGTTTAGATTTCTAGAGTAGAAATCAGATTTATTTATTTAAGACTTGTTTATACAAGGATCTGTTTAGATTACAGAGAGGTTGTGTTCTTAGAAATTGATTTTTGAACTTTCAGGAAAAAGACAAGCGCTTTCATTGTTTAGAATTTACAAGTCGTGTAGCAATAAATAAACCATGTTTCTCCGTTGGAGTAGGAATACAAAGGGTAGATAGGGCTGCATGAATAAATACATGAATAGATAAAAACAATCAAATCATCATGAGTCTGGAAAAGCATGTTACCTGTCATTGGATTTTCAATATATTCATGATTTCTGTGTTTTACAGGAAGCTAGTCTCTCAAGAGCAGAGCAGTGATCTGATATGATTTGAATATCAAGTTTGATTCTAAACAGTCTAGGGAATGGGGCTATTTTACTAATAGTTAAACAATGTATTACCATAGTTGTTTAGTTTAGTTTTGTTTCTTTTGTAAAAGAGGAGGACAATTCCCAGATTTTTCTTGCATACTAATGTGAATACTTTTCAAGTTACAGCATCACAGCCTTTTGCCCTTCAAAGGGTTATTCCATAAAAAGAGTTCAAAGTCGCATTGCTTGGACCACCTTGACCTGTTACAACACTAACAAGATGTTTACCCGATCAAGGGTTCCCTTGCACAGCTTGACCTATACACAAGACACTTCTTTGAGGAACTGGCTCTGACCCAGATGTCGACATAAGGGAGCCAATAAACCCGTCGTCTCAGCAAGATTTCCTGGCATTAATCCCTGAAAAAACAGCCCAACTACGATGGATTATAATGCAGTACTTTTTAATGCAGAGCTTGGGGGACTGTGGTACATCCATCAGCAGTGGATGATGGATGTACCACAGGATTATTGAAAAACAATGTTATTTAAATACAGCCAAGACACAAGTCAGTAAGTGTCACTTTAAATGCTCTAATTCAATATTTGAATCCATAAATGATAAAAACCACATCAGATGATCTGATAAATGGCTGGCTTTTACTTTATTTGTAAACAAAATGTCTCTTCAAACAAACTCAAGTCTGACGAGCGCATTTCTCACCACAGGCTTTTTCTTTGAAGACACATTCATGTGAGGTTTAAAGGAAACTATTTTCATATAATCATTTCATGCTTATATATTTCATTGGCCATTTTACTATGACTCAGCCTTGGTCTTTTCTGAGAAATTCTGTGAGCAAAAACGTAAATCAAAGATGTCAAAAATTGAAAGTGCAATATGGGAAAATGTGCCGTATGGGGTCGAAAGCAGTCGACAGAGATTGTGAAGCATATTGTGTGCAGCCACTTAGGATCCAAACTTTGGCCTTGCTCTATTGATTTTCATAGAGCTGGAACAGCTTGCTTGGACATTTCTACTGACATGCAGAGTCTCACCCAGAACATGCTGTGGAAGTTAAGCAAAACTTAAATAACAAAAAAAGATTCTCAAGGCCAATGACATTACTGAATAATAAAGGATGACAATCACGGCAACCGGCTTGATTATTTCAGTAAATTTCAGTACATTTTAAGTTGTAG